AAAACTTTCTGGAGGGAGCAGTTCATTGGTCTAAGCATGAGCCAAAGAACACCGATGTCTGCGAGCCATTGTGTACCAAGTGCTGTGGTTCAGCCCTCAGGCTAGAGCCAGATAAGCCTAAATCCCAAACCTGATTTAGCCACATGCTACCAGAGCTTCATTTTCCTCATCTACAAAATGGAGGAATAATATCAGTACTTGACTCCCAGCTTTGTTGTGGAGATGAAATGAGCTAATGGATGCAAATTTCTTAGCACAGTGCCTAGCTCATGCATGCTCACTAATTTAAGCTTTATTATCAGCTGCAGAGATTCTCATGGCCTTTTCTAACTTCATCAGAGTATTAAAGCATTTTAATTGGGTTTGAGCAGAATATCCGAAAAACAGTAGATTGGGTATTTCAGGTGTCTGGGTGTCTCTTTGACGTGCGGTGTATACTACAAAAACATGTTACAACCTTTTGAAAGCCTTGGGACATTAACATCCTGCCCATCTCAATTTCTTAGAGGACAGGAAATAACCACATCAAAATGTTGATGATAAGTCTACACAGCAATTCGTCATATTAGTAAGTGCTCATGTGGCCACAGTCTCCCTGCTCGAACAGTAGTAGCGACCACTGGCAAATCAAACACATGCAGCCTTTTCCTTTCCGTCTGCTGCTAAAAGATCTCAGATAAAAATGAAGGGGTCATCACGGTATAAAGGAAAGAGCGCAAGCTTTGAAACAGATGAGCAGGAATTCAAGTATCAGCTCCGCCACTTACTCCTTTGGTGGCCTGGGTGTCATTTAACCTCTTTGGAGCTCTGTTTTCTGATTATTCACCCATTTATTCACTAGGACTTTTTGAGCACATAGTGTGTGCTGGACTATGCTGTAGGTGCTTCGAATGTATTAGGGAATAAAATGCGCCCCAGATTATCTCTTTGTCGAGCTTATATTCTAATGGAGAGAGAGAGATTATTAGAAATAAATATGATACATAAGCTAACCATACAGTGTTTATATAATGGGGATTCCGGTATGGAGAGAGAGAGACTATTAGAAATAAATATGATACATAAGCTAACCATACAGTGTTTATATAATGGGGATTCCGGTATTTAACTCCAGTGGGTTGTTGTGTTGATAATAAGAGATAACTCATGTATAATGCATGGAAGAGAGGAGGCATTTAATAACTTGTTGCAGTTTATTTTTTAAATTACTTCCAGATATCTTCAAATTCTTTAAACACCTACTATGTAGTTTGCATCTAGGTACTGTTCATTTATTCATTCAACAAACAATTCTTGAGCATCTATTACGTGCTAGAATCTGAACTAGGTGCCAGGGACACAAAGGAATCCTGTAAGAGCACGTGCTCCCTGGCCTTGAGAATTTCACGCTCCTGTCCTCTGTGGACTAGAGGAGAGGCCTGTGACAGCCCCAAGGCAGGAGTGGCCTTTGGTCTTGTGTTTCTGTGAATTAGAGCAGTGCACCTCACTGATGCTGTCTTTTTTAACTCCAAGTCTCCCAGCTATGGCTGGTGATTCTAGGAATGCTATGAACCAGGATATGGAGATTGGCGTCACTCCCTGGGACCCCAAGAAGATTCCCAAACAGGCCCGCGATTACGTCCCCGTTGCCACAGACCGCACCCGCCTGCTGGCAGAAGGCAAGAAGCCGCGCCAGCGCTACATGGAGAAAAGCGGCAAGTGCAACGTGCACCACGGCAACGTCCAGGAAACCTACCGGTACCTGAGCGACCTGTTCACCACCCTGGTGGACCTCAAGTGGCGCTTCAACCTGCTCGTCTTCACCATGGTGTACACCGTCACCTGGCTGTTCTTTGGTTTCATCTGGTGGCTCATTGCTTATATCCGGGGCGATCTGGACCATGTTGGTGACCAAGAGTGGATTCCCTGTGTTAAAAACCTCAGTGGCTTCGTGTCTGCTTTCCTGTTCTCCATCGAGACTGAAACAACCATCGGGTATGGCTTTCGGGTCATCACAGAGAAGTGTCCAGAGGGGATCATCCTCCTTTTGGTCCAGGCCATCCTGGGCTCCATCGTCAATGCCTTCATGGTGGGATGCATGTTCGTCAAGATCAGCCAGCCAAAGAAGAGAGCGGAGACCCTCATGTTTTCCAACAATGCGGTCATCTCCATGCGGGACGAGAAGCTGTGCCTCATGTTCCGGGTGGGTGACCTCCGCAACTCCCACATCGTGGAGGCCTCCATCCGTGCCAAGCTCATCAAGTCCCGGCAGACCAAAGAAGGCGAGTTCATCCCTCTGAACCAGACCGACATTAACGTGGGCTTCGACACGGGTGACGACCGCCTCTTCCTGGTGTCTCCGCTCATCATTTCCCACGAGATCAACGAGAAGAGCCCCTTCTGGGAGATGTCTCGGGTTCAGCTGGAGCAGGAGGAGTTTGAGGTCGTGGTCATTCTAGAAGGGATGGTGGAGGCAACGGGTAAGACGCTTTGTCCTCCCTGGCCACAGAGTCCCCTTACACACCGGGGAGCTCAGGCCAGCGACTCCACAAAATGGAAGTGTGTGAATGAGAAGCCTGAGATGGCACAGCCAACACGTCCAGTCCCTAAACTGTAATCTGAGAGGTACTGTCACTCAAGTCAGAGTAATGACAAAAGCTAACACTGATCGAACTTTCCCTCATCCAGGCCCAGCTCTAGACTTTAAACCCATATTATCTCACTTCATGCCCTCCCACAACCTTAGGAAGTAGTTTTCATGAAGAAACAAAGGCAGACAGGTTAAACAATTTGCTCAAGAGCAAATGCTGCTGAGTCGTAGAGCCAGGATGCAAATCAAGGACCCCAGTACCGGCACTGGTTTCCAACAGGCCAAACTGCCCCCAGTCCAGGAAGAGCTGTTCTACCTAAAAAGAGGTCTCTGATCAAGTGACTTTGGGAAGCACAGGTGAAACAAAGCTGAGCTGGTTTCTTTACAGTAGAACTTCACAGTATCGTCACATACTGTGACCCTCATCATAAGGACAGGATAGCATGCAGCAGTCCCCAACCTCAAGGGCATTCTTACATGATCCTTTTTTTGGAGAGACACCTATGGCCCAGACCTGGGGGAGGGGCTCTTCTGGCCAGGCCCCCTCTGGAGCATCCTGCCCCTCGGTTTTCTGCTGAAAGGTGTCTTAGTGAGCCCAAAGCGTGCAGGGCTACTTCCTTGCAGAAAACAGCACACCCATGCTGAGCATCAACATTCACATACACCCGGGAAAATGCCCTCTTTGTAGTCACCAGGACACTCCCTGCTCAGCTAGTGACCCTCGCATCTCACAGGTGGCTGGGAGCCAAGAGCTCCCGCCATCCCTCAGCCACTTGGCATGGCAGACCTCCGTGAGGTGGTCCCAGGGAGCCCAAGGTCTGAGGGACCTGAGCTCTGGCTGAGCCCCACAGTCCTCACCACCAGCCCCACGTGGGGCCAGGCCTCCTGGGGAAAGGAGCCACCAGCAGCACCCAGCACCCTGCTTATCTCCTTTTTCCCTCTTGCCCCCCTTTCTCTTTTTTTCACTAAGTGCACTGAGCAGCAGGTTAGGCCCTAATCTGACTTACAGAAAACTCATTCATGCTCAGCATGATACATGTATATTTTTCTAATTCTCACAAACAGTCCTGTTTTACGGATGTGGAAGCTGAACCTTCAAAGGATCATGCAGACAGCAGGTTCACTTAAAAATCTAGAGCTCTTCCTACCACACCACTCTAGCCCCTGCGACATCAGGGGCCTGTCACAGAGGTCATCAAGTGTGCCTTCCTGGCCTCTGGGCAGCTGGTTGCTGGGTGGGAGACTCAGACAGGGCACCACCCACTCTCCCATTCTGGAGCCAGTGGAACTCCAGGGACTGGTGCCAGAGGGGGCTGTGTGGCCATCTGCTGGGGGCCAGGCCTGGCCAGGCAGCATATGGCAGCAGCCGTGGGAGCCCCCAGGGCTGAGGACACGCAGGAGGCAGAAGCTGCCTCCTACAGAGCTGATGCTCAGAGGTCACTCTGCCCTTGGTGCTGAGGTCAGGATCAGAACACGGGCTGGGTTTCAGGGGGAAAAGCTCCACTCTGAAGCCACAAAGAAGGGACCAGGTCAGAAACATGGGCACAGAAGATAAGGAGCCATGCCTTACCACCCCGTGGCCGCCCTCACTGCTGCCAGCCGTGCAGCAGGAGAGCACCCTGGGCCACCCACAGCGGGCCGCACCTGCTGACCAGCTCAGCGGGCCCCTCCCCTCACGCCTCCCTCCAGGTCAGCCATCCACAGTTGCTTGTCCTAACTGCTTGACCCCCTCCCCTCCCACAACTTGGGCTACTGTAGGGGAGACCCAGGGACACAAGGGAAGGAGACCACCGGCCCACACGTGTGCTGATCTCAGCGCTGCAAGGGGTCTGACTGTGAGGCTCATGGAGCCAAGCAGGGGCTGTGAGTTCAGGCCTAGGTTCGAGTAGCACAGCTCTGCCACATCTTTCTTACCTGTGTGAGTTCAGGCAAGTTGTTCTTCAGGAAAATGACTATAATCAATGTCACAGGGTTGTCGGGAGGATTGAATGATTAAATGGAGCACCATATGTAAAGCACAGTGCCTGACACCTAGAGAATCCTTTCCATGCGTGTAAAGGTATCAGGAGTCGCGAGCTGCCAGGGACACAGGCAGGATCTCCAGCTACAGGGCAGCCCACTGCCACATCCCAAGAGGTAGGACAGGAAGGCAGGCAGGACGAACTCACAGGGGCCTGCTCAGATGTGGAGGTCCTGGCCCACTGCCTTTCCCGGGGCCCTGGGAGCCTGCAAACATCTGGCCTGGGTCTAGGCTTGTCACTGCCCAGTTTGGGCAACTACACCTTTGCTGAGGCTGGGGAGGGGTGTAGACAACAAGGGGGGTGGGTGACAATGTGTGGAGACTGGATGGAGAGACCTGGCCCACGTAGGCATCCCCTGAGAGCAGAAAGCAGGCTGCAAGCCCACTGTGTGTTGGGGGAGGGGGGTGCCATGGGTGTGCCCAGGCACTGCAGCACGAGTGGGTGGGAAGCAGCCTTTAACCTAGGTCTGGTTTGTGTGAGACCCCTCACAGAGAAAGCCCAAGGTGGCAAGCTGGAGAAGGCTTCTCCTTCAGGTCCCAAAGAGCAAAGCTAGTGTCTTTCTTGACCAGAAGATTAAATATCAGAAGGCGGCTTTCCTGTGATCCTAAGCACAGAGGATTCCTCAACCATAAACAAAGCTGCCCTCCCTCTCTGGAGAGAAAACAACACCTAAAAATAACAGCCTTGGCAAGGGCCATGTAGGTAGGGAATGGAGCCGTCAGAGCATACTCAAATTGAGGAGCCAAGCTGTGTGTGTGCACAGGAGTGCGTGTGAGCGTGTGCACGGGTGTGCGTGTGAATGTGTGCATCTGCATGGGTGTGCATGTGAGCGTGTGCACGGGTGTGCGTGTGAGTGAGCATGGAGGCTTCTGTCCCTGTGGGTCTATCCAAAACAATCCCCATATGTTCTAAATGCTTAGCAGCTTCTCTGTGCTCGCTCACTCTGAATTTATCATCATTCAAGCACTTTTCCTGCCCTTTTCCCATCTCAGTCTTCTAGACCAGAGGGACCATGTCCCTGACTCCAACTAGTCCAAAAATTACTTGCTCCAATCTCTAGGAACCTACTGGAAACCTTGCATGTTGTTATCTAATTTTCTGCCTCTACCACACCTTGTGCTCCTCCAGGGCAGGGACTGTGTCTCATTGATCTTTGCACCTGTGTTTAGCACAAAGTAGGTGTCCAGGAAATGCTTGATGAATGATTGGATGGATGGATGGATGATTAGATAGGTGAATGAATGGGTGGATAGATGGATAGATGATTGGATGGATGGACATAGAAACTGATGGGTAAATGAATGGATATATGGATAGATTATTGGATGGATGAATGGTTGGATGGATAGATGGATAGATAATTGGACAGATGATTGGATGGATGAGTGGACGGACGGATGGATGAATAATTACATCTTAACACATGTGGCTCTCTTTCCCCAGGCATGACTTGCCAAGCACGGAGCTCCTATATGGATACAGAGGTACTCTGGGGCCACCGATTCACACCAGTCCTCACCTTGGAAAAAGGATTCTATGAGGTGGACTACAACACCTTCCATGATACCTATGAGACCAACACACCGAGCTGCTGTGCCAAAGAGCTGGCGGAAATGAAGCGGGAAGGTCGGCTCCTCCAGTACCTTCCTAGCCCCCCGCTGCTGGGGGTCTGTGCCGAGGCAGGGCAGGATGCAGAGGCTGAGCAGGACAGAGAGGAGGAGCCTGAGGGGCCAAGTGTGTCCCGGAAGACCAGAGGCTTGGTGTGAGGGCTGCACTGTCCTCACGCCTTCCCCTCACTGGCTTCCAGGAGCACAGACAGATGCTGCAGAGCCCAGCAGGGGTGCGGGGAGAGGAGGGAAACAGCTGAGTGTGCTGTTCTGTGGGGAGGGACAGCACACCCAGCCACACACAGCCCTCACACTTGCCAGCACAGGGTCTCACTGAGCAGGTAGTGTCCTGCCTGGGGCCCCGCTGGGGCTGCCTCTGTGGGCACTGGCTAAGTGCCAGGCCAGGTCAGGTTTCCCCACAGTGAATGGTACAGGGTGACTCTGTCCTCTTTCTGCCAATTAGCCCTGGGTCACTTTCCTCCTTGGGTCTCACCGACCCCTCCAGGGGCTGGCATCTAAAGAGGGCTGTCACCTCCTTCCCCTCATTCCCACCCCCCTGGGGCTTATTTTGGATTCAGGGAGGAAAGATTCTGCCTGATGGAAACTCAAACCTGCAGTCCAAAGGTGGGCTCACAGAGCCCCCATGGGTTAAGGTCCGTCCAAGTCCTGTAGGCAACGCCTTTTAAATCCGAGACCCACGACCACTTGCTGAGCTCTTCCGGGAGCACAGCCCCTGACCCTCTGTTATTACCTGCCAAGTGTGTGTGCTTTGTCTGCGTGTCCTGCGTGTCCCATGCAGCCTACTGGATAACTGACCTCGTCAGAGTGACTCAGAAGGGGCCTGGAGCCCCAGAGCACCCGTGAGCGTGTGCCGTTGGCACCAGCACTTTCCTGGCCCACTCCCGCCACCCCGTGCCCGGCGCCTCCCACCAAGGGGAGCACCCACCGCTGCTGCTTTTCGCGTACTTTTTGCCTAAAGAACCTCAAAATGCTTCTCATCTCCACCGTGGTTTTCTTTCACGGTCTCAGAGAGCCTGCGGTGCGATGGGGAGAAAGCTGAGTGTCAGAGGGTGGGATGAGCGGTCAGCTCTGCAGGGTGGGGGCGGGCGGGGTGCGCAGAGAAGGGGACAGCGGAGCGAGAGCAGGGCAGGGGCGCAACGAGCTCGGCGCCACCTGCTTCGCCGCGGGGCTCAGCACGCCTCTGCTCTCCGTGAATAAGGGATGGGAAGCTGAGGCGACAGGTCACCTGGCGGCAGCGGGACCGTCAAACCCAGGCCGGACGGAGCTCTCCGGCCAGTGCTGGGAGCCCCGGGCCTCCCTCCTCCGGGCAGGGCTCCGGCAGGGGGCGCTGGGCCGGCGGCGGGGGCGGT